GCTCCTGTAGGGTGGTGGGAAAAGGTCCTTCTCAGTGCCTGGCTCACCTCATTCCATTCCAAGGCCCCAAAATTCACCCTTTCCCTGGATGGGCTTGGTAGCTGCAACCTCTAAGAAAAAACACCTTTCCTGCCCGGTCCCCAGGCTCCTTGTCCTCTACCCAGACCAAAGAGTGATCTTCCAGGTCTAGAGAAAACAAACCCCAGTGTCACAGCTCCTGCCCCCCACCACCCCATTGCCATGCCACCTTCTTAGTTCTACATCTGCCCAAAGTTCCATGAGTATCTATTAGTATGAAGCTTGCAGCAAGTGGGCCGGGCCACGTGAGCCTGGCGGAGTCTATTCTCTGGGGATTTCCACCTGGCGCTGTCTGCCTCAGAGTCTCCAACTTCTCAGTGGCTGAGCAGATATCCAGATGCCAGAGAGTGTGGGTACAAGAAGGTCTGCCTGGGTTTGCCACTGTGGCAAGTACCTGCTGAAGGACTTGGCACCCAGGTCCAGCTCCTGCCTCTTCTGGTCCCCCAAGGTCTTCCCACAGGCAGGATTAATTGCAGGGAAGAAGTTTCAGACCCAGACCCTCAGGATCCCCGACTTGCAAATGGGGTCATGCTAAGAACAGAGGGCTCGGGCTCTACCCAGTGCTCACCTCTGGCCTCTAAAGAGAATTTCCCCTTCAACTGCCCCTTCATCCGTCCTTGCCCCCATATATTGAAGAAGGTTTTCCCAAGGCTGTTATTCCCAGAATTCTTACTATTTGACCTGTTTCCTTCCTTCCTTCCTTCCTTCCTTCCTTCCTTCCTTCCTTCCTTCCTTCCCTTCCCTTCCCTTCCCTTCCCTTCCCTTCCTCTTTTTTTTTCTTTCCTAAGCAAAATGTGATCCCATGGGAAGAATACCAACAGATTAACCACACTTTTGTTCCCTTTGGACCCCAAAGCCCCTCCCACCATGGGGGGTAGGGTGGGCAGGAGGGCCATGAACTCACTTCCAGGAGACCTGCATTCATTTCTACCCACCTGTCACATCCCTCCAGGGCAAAGTCTGTCCTGGAAGAGAGACCACCCTGCTCAACCCTGGCCATCCGATCTCATATCTGCCCATCTGTCTGTCTGTCTGTCTGTGGGATCAACAGCCTCCAGCCAGCCTCACTCCTCCTCACCAGCCCCAGCCCCAGCCAGCTGTAATTCCTGCCTGTTACAAGTGTTAACACCTGGCCTGGGGCCTTCCTCCCCCGCAGTCTCCAGGTGCCTCCCTGGGCCCAGCCCACTGACCCCCACGGGGTTTGACTGAACATGTTCACAAGCCTCTGAGAGACAGGTGGGGGTGGGAGTGGATGGGGAAGGCAGCAGGACATCTGAAACATGGGGAAACTGAGGCAGGGCATGGGGCAGGCGCTTGAGTGGGGGCATGTGTCAGGGTGGTGGAGTGAAACCCGGGTGGCCTATTTTCCAGCTCACTCTGTGTCCTGAGCAAAACACCCTCCCTCAAGCTTCCAGGCAGGGTGTGCTGGTGGTCCTGGGTGAAAGAAGAGAAGACAGTTCCAAGCCAGGTGGGGTGAGGGGTCGTGGCCCTGAATGACGGTGACAGCTAGGTGAGCCACTGACCCCACCCAGCCCAGGCCTCTTCTATCAGGGTGTCTGCTCTGGAACGCAGCAGGGACTGGGCTGGGCCCTGGGAAGATAGGTTCCTTTTCCCCCAATAAGGAGAAGAAAGACAAGTTTCTCCACTAGGCACTAACTGGAACTGACAAGGAGAATTCTAGAAATCAGAGCTGCTGTCACTGCTTCCTGTCCCAGTGCCCCCAACTACCTGGCTGGGAGGGCCTGGAGCATACCACTTCCTTTCAGAAGCATCTGTCGGGGGCCCCTTCTGTCTACCCTCTCTCAAGGGTGGGGCCTGAACAGGGCAGGCTCCTGAGAATGGGGTTCCCTCCCTAGCATGGCAAGGACAGAAATCCCAGCTAAGTGACTTCCCTGTAAATCCCTCTTGGGGAATGTTGTGCTAGGTGAGCCCAAGAGGGCAGGCCACAAGGGGCCTCCATCCTCAAAGGTCTGGAATCTGACTGCCTGGGGGCAGAGTGGGATCAGGAATCTGAGGCTCATCCACTCTCCAGTCCCAGCCCTAAGAAGGGGACTCATCCTTTACCCCAACCCCAAGATCAAACTACCTCAGAGAACAGGGCCAGTGACCGCAGTCCACAAGCAGATAGGAGAAGCTGATGTCAAAGAACATTGTCCCCCCACCCCAGCATGGGATCCCAGGTCAGCTGTGCCCTACAGCCACCTTCTGAGACCTTGGCTTCCTGCTGGACCTTCCCTCTAGAAGAACGGATCTCCAACATGCACACCAGCTCAGGTGTCGCTCATACCCACAGGTCAGACATCTGCAAACTCGTCCACGGACACACAGCCACGAGTCCAGCCACATCACTGTCACTTGGGGGACAGGATCACAAGCTGACCTAGCCACAGCACTCACACAGCTACGGACACAGGTCTCATTCTCCTACTTACAAACACAATCAGGTCATGGCCATGAGCACTGATATCACACACAAAGACATTTGTGGGGCTTCCCCTTTACACTGCTGTGAAAGCATGTGCGCGCGCGCACACACGGGAACCATACTCACATACCCAGTCACCAACACAGTCATGCACAGCGTCACAAGCACAAACAGGCACTGACCTTTACATGGGCAAAGATACTTCTAGACTTTTCTCTCTGTGTCACACACATATACACATGGATCCCAAAATCGGCCCCTTGCTGACACTTGGATGCAGAGACACAAGCATAACCCGTCCCGGGCCACGGATCCCCCAGGCACACCCCGMGCGATTCCACATGCACAGTGTTCCAGTCTCTGGCCCAAAAACTCCTACACACACAGACACACTAGTGACCACACACTTCATAGGGTCCTAGATCCATAACACATGCACGCACACACGTGCACACACACACATAGGTACCACAGGCACTGACAAGCACATGGGTCCACTTGAACTTGCCCACCCTCTCTCTCTCTCTCTCTCTCTCTCTCACACACACACACACACACACACACACTCACACACAAAATCTCTCCTTGGCTCAGACAAAGCAGCGTGTCTGCCCCCTGTGTCTAGCATTACCTTATGGCCCATGTCTTGGCCTTCCATGTTTTCCAACAGCTTCTGTCTGTTGGGTGGGCCCTATCCAGATGCCCCCTAGACACCATCACACTCGGACACCCACCACCACCACCTYCCCTCAGCACTGCCCCTGGAAGTGCCTTCCTCCAGTGCACAGGGCAGGGAGCCTGCTCTCTCTCCTGCAGTCCCTGCCACCTCTGGGGCGCCAAGCCTCTTCCCTCCCTTCCCCTGCCAGGGTCTTCTGAGAAGGCCAAGAACAGCATGGCCTTGGCCCAGGCATGGAAAGAGGGTCAGGAATGGCCAGTGAAGCAGCCTCCCCCGCCCTGGAATCCCTGGCTGCTCTGGCCACCCTGTGGGCTTCTTTTTGTACAAGAGGCCTCAGGCCAGCCCAAGGCCACAGAGAAGGACAGGCTGGGCAACTTCGGGGACCCTCTAAATAGAGCCCCTTGGCTATCACCCTTTTCCTGCTTCTGTCCCTCCTTTCTTCCTGGGGGCCCCAAACACCCAGACACAAATGCTGCCACCCCCAAACAACTGGGAAAAGACTCAGGGTGTGGCCCCCAAATCTCCCGGGCTCTGCTCCTGGCTCAGGGTGGCAGGTAGGGAGAGTGGGGCATGCGGGCAGCACTGCACCCTGGCGGCACGTCCCTCTGACTTTCACCTTAGGGGCCACAGCCCCCTTCTTCCTCACAGATCCCAAATTCCTCCTCCTCACCTCCCACCCCCAGGCCGAGTCTCTCCTAGTCCAGGAGGGGAAGATTCTTTAATTAAAGTTTTCCGGAATGCAGGGGGCTGGAGACTGGGGAGAGGCGGGGTGTAATTTAGAGAACTGGTTTCAGTGTCTTCCCCGCTGGCCCCTGGGACCTGCAGAAGGGGGGAGTGGAGATGGGGCGGCTTGGAAAACAAGGGGACTCCCTAGAGCTGGGGCTCCCAAAAGGCTGTTTATTCCCTAGTCAGTCCCTTGGTACACACACACAGCCCCCAAGCCCTGCCTGCGCCCGGTTCCCTAGTCTTATTTACTAAAATGCCTTTTGTATCCGCATTTCTCAGGGACAGATTTCTCCTTTCCCTCTCCCTTTCTCCTCGGTCCTCGGTTTTCCAAAAGGAACAAATGTGACATGGAGAATTTGGTTTTTGGTCAAAGAACAACAAGCCTACCCCTCCCAGACAACTACATTTTCCAGGAGCCCCCCTTTTGCTAGGATGGCCAGGCAAGAAATGAATACAACCGAATTCAATGGCATCTCGGATCAGCAAATACCATATTCACTTCAGAAGCTCAAAATTAATCTAGTGCAGAGTGGGGAGGATCTGATGAAATCCCCCCACTCCTCTGCCCCAGGGACCCCTTTGGGCAGCTTTTGGGGGTCTGAAATAGGAAGGCAAACGGGGGTTATTGTGGGGAAATCTCTTGACCAAGGAGCTGCGGARGTAGGGTGGCAATGAAGAAACAGGATGATTTTGCCCATGAAGACCCCAAAATGGAGAAGAGGAGTGGCTGGGCCCCAGGGACAGCGCTGGATTTCCAGAAACCCAACTGCAAGCAAATGGAGGGTCTTCAGCCACCCTCAGATTGGGATGGGTGGAGGGTCGGAATCATAAATGAGAGACCTTCAGAGATGGGGAAAGTCCTCCAGCCTCTGCGGCGGGTAGCAGGGAAAATGGTGATTATCGGAGCAACCAGGAGTTGGATTCTGAAGGCGACACCAGCAGAAATCCAGGAGGGGTGGGCAGCTGGGGGACTGGAGAGAGGCAAGGAGAAAGGAGCCCCAGCCCTGCCGCCGCCCACCCCCGAACCAGCGCCCCCCACCTCCCCCGGGCGCGGCGGAGAGATCGGGCCGCGGGCAGACAAGAGGCGAGTCTTACCACCAAATTGGGTAGCCGGCGAGGACCCTGGTGCCACCGAGCAGGAGGCCGAGGAGCAGCCCGAGCAGGTGGGGCTCCATTAGAAGCGGCGCCGAGGAGGAAGTTTGCCCGCGACCATGAAGAGGGGGAGCGACGCCCCCAATAGTTGGAACAAAGTCCACTTGAGGTTGGAAATGACTTTCGGGCTTGTCAGAAGCGCACCTCCACCCGCAGCCGCCCCCCTCCCGAGCCCAGCGCGGAGCAGCCGGGTTTGAGGATGTCAGCGAGCAGCCAATCAGCGCCCGCGGCCTAAGGTAAGAGATGAGTCTGTAGTTCAGTCTGTCAATCACGCGCCCCTCCCGCCCGGCCCACAACTCCGGCTCCGGGAAGGGCATCGCCCAGCAAACTTGGGCAAAGCCCGCGCCCCGGACACAGTGGGGCCTTGAGGGGACACGGCACGCCGGACTTTCTCTTGGCCTGGGACGGCCGCAATCCCCCGCAAGTCAGGTTTAGGGAGCTCGAGTTCTGACCGACCCCGCGTTCACGTGGTGACGGGTTGGTGTGGGCATTACTGAGTGGCACATTTTCAGTGGGGAGACCGTGATCCCCTGGGACTTAGGCCCGCGAGGAATCGACAGTAGAAAGCACAGGGATGTTTGCAGAACCCCAGCTCGGGCCGTCAGGACCGGAGATTGGGAAATGCAACCCCTCCCAGTCTCCAGCCTTCCCAGCCCCGCGGGCCAGCCAGCCGGCCCCGCCACCCGGCCGCAGGAGGTCGCTTCCCGGGTGTCCGAGAGGCACGCGGGAGAGTCCGCGGAAGCTCGAAGGTCTGGCTGCGGGCGGCGCCGGGGGGCAGAGCCGAGTGTCATTTGAGTCTTTTGTCAGGGATCAGATTGGTATCGGGACCTCCTGCTGCCTTTGCATTTCCTGCAACTGACACCAGCGGCCAGTTGCATTTCCTGCTCGCGGAGTCGGGTCACTTTCTCCTCCTCAAGGCGTTCAGGCCCGACCTCAGAAGCCCGACCCGCAGCCTCTTTTGGATCTTGGGGTCGAACCCTTTGGAGTCACTGAAACGTGGCCGCCCTGCCCAGGAGCTACTGGGAGCCTCCCGGACCCCCCTCTCAGTCCAACTCTCCGGTCCTGATCCCTGGGCCTTTCTGCTGATGGGGAGGTGTATCCTGGGGTTTGGCGATTAAGCTCTTATCCTGAGCTGACAGCACATTCATCCGAATACCCCATCCCTCCCAATGGGGGGGGGGGCGGAATCCTTCCAGTTCCCCTGCAGGGCCGGAGGGTCCTCTTTTTCCTCTCCAGAGCTGAGGAATTAGGTCTCAGGCCGCAGTGAGATTTGGGAGACTCATCCCATCACCTGGGTGATTCCACCTAACCCCTTCCCTGGGGCTGTGGGAGGATTCAGGGTTCCGGTGCAGCCCTGACTTGGGGGTGAAGGAAATATGGCCGATGAGAGGCAGGCAAGTTTGGGGAACTCTGGCAGAAAGGGCAGGGAAGAAGCCCACCTGAATCCTGCCCAGGCTGGGATGGTGGGCTCTCCTTGGGACTGGGGGGTTGGGGGCAAGGCTGAAGGAGGAGGACAAGACATTCCTGGTCTTTGATCTGGGCTGCTGGTATCCACAGCTCGAACCCGCTGCTGCTGGCCCAATCTCCGCACAGGGCCTCTCCTGGTGCGGGGAGAGCAAGGAACTGGCCCCTGGGGGCACCAAGGGTCGGGAGAGCCGCCTGGGCTTGTCACGGATTCTGCTGCGTTCCTAACCCAGTGCTTGACTGGAGGGGGTGGGGTGGGGGGGAGAGATGAAAGAGAGGAGGGAAGGGGAGAAAAGGGAGAGACCAAGTGGAGAGATAGAAGCCCGAGAGACAAAAATAGAGATGGGGGGGTGGTGAGAAGCTACCAACAGAAGGAAGAAAGGGAAGAAAAGAGAAGGGGAAAGGCAGAGAGGGCCCAGGAGCAGCAAGGAAAGAAAATTCCTGAACCTACTAAAGAGCAGGGGGCATGATGGAAGCTGCAGAGACGGGCATCTCCACAGTTGCCCTAAGGGCTGGGTTGATTCTGAGGCTCCCCGTTTCAGATTCACCTGCAAAGGAGGTAGTAGTGGGCTTGCCGTTGTTGCAGAATGCAGAACCCCAGAACCAGGGCTGCAGGAATAGAGAGCCCTCTACATACCCCTCATGGATCAAAGCCTGTTAGAACCTACCTGGAGGAGTGCTGTCTTTCCCATGGGCTTCCAGGTGGTTTTCTGAAAAGAGCTGCCTGCTGGAGTGCAAATTCTGCCCAAAACAAAACAAAACAAACAATCAAAGAAACACCTGGGGAGTTTCAGAGCCCCATAACCAACTTTCTGAGAGCTGGGGAGACTGCCTTCCCTGGCCACCAAGACACCACCGAGGATGCAATGTAGTGGGAAGGCAGGGGCTGAACTAGATGGGCTCTTGGAGTGATTTAGGGCCTAAAGATATTCCACAAGTGCCAGCCCTAGGAAGCAAGAGCACAAGATCCCAGTGGCTTTAGGTGGTGTGTGGTTTGATTGTGATATGCCCAGCAAGCCTTGGCAAAACTGGTCATTTCATGAAGGACTGTGTATATCCAGATGCCTCCTCTGGGCTGCCTGGAACACTATGGACACCCAAGGAACAAATGGATGAGAAGGTGAATCCAGGAGCCTGCTGGCCCAGAAGCCTGGGGAATAGAGGCAGAGAGGACTAGAACCTGTCAGATGAAGGCATGTCGGCAGGAGGCTGGGAGAATGGAGGCCTGTGTGGGGATTTCCCCCCACTTGAAAGTTCCCCAGAGAAGGGGATTCCTAAGCCCCTTCCTCTCCCTTGCCAGGTGTCCTTCCTTCAACACAAGCTTAATTTCCTTCCTCCTGCCCGCCCAGCGCTGCCGGTGGGAACCGAAGTATGGTCCCTTCCCCGGGCAGGGAGGGCGCCCCTGAGTCACGAGTCACAAATGGAAACATCTAATAGCCGCCCCGAACCTCAGGGTAGGTTGCACTTGGTGGAGAAAGAGTTAAATCCACTCCAAAGCCAGCAAGGGTGGGCGGGGTGGAGGAGCCAGCGCGGTGGACCCGGAGGCCTCCGCCCCGAATGGGAGGGTGGTCTCTGGAATGGGGGCAGAGAAGGCAACAGGGGCCCGGGGACCTGGGGGCAAAAAGGTGGCACGTAGGAAGCACTTTATGTAGTGTGTGTGAATGGCGTGGAACTTAGACCTGGGATGGGGACCCCCTCCCACCCCCACCTCTGTGGCTGGCCTGTGGTTCCTTTTGATGTGCGCTCCCCGGGGCGCGCAGTCTGCCGCTGGCCGCGTATTCAGCGCCGCTCCACCGGACCCCCCTGCCGCGGCACCTCCTAGACAAAGAATACGGCGGCCAGGCCCGCTCGCCCTCAAAGGGCTACCCGTCTGTCGCTGGGAGGGAGAAGGAAGTCGCCAATCCAGGCACTGACTGTGCCATTCATTTTTGCTTGGAATATCCCCAGGGGCTTCGGGGGACGGCATATGGGGGGAAGCGATGGAGGGGCTGGAGCCTGGAGCCGACCAGCCTAGGGAGGATGAAGGGAGAGGGAAAAGACACTGCAGGCGAGGAAAACGGCAAGTGCCAAGGTCCCAAGGCCTACAACAGGAACTCACGGGAACACCACGAGGGGGGCGCATAGGGGTCTCCAAGACCGCTCACCCGGAGAGAGGAGCTTTGAACTTTCTGCTAAGAGCTATAAGGGCTCCAGAACATTTTAAACGAGCTCCTTGGAGGTCACTGCAAGGTTGGACAATAGTGGGCACCTTGGAAGCAGGAGGACCACAGTGAGTGGTGGGCACAGAAATGAATTGGACAAGATTTCTGTTATGTCCAACTCCCTTCTCTGGCATAAATGTAGAGTCCTGGACATGCAGGAAACTCATGACCTGCACCAGGTAAGCACAACGTCGGTGAGCGACAAATCCAACCCACAAAGGCAAACAGGTATCTTCTCCAGGGCTCCCTGCCTCTCCCGCGCCACTCTGGCACGCCCCCTGGCGGTGGAGTTGATAGTGAGGCGGGAAGTCAGCAGGCAGGCGAGGTGGTCCCACCCTGCCTGCTCTATGCAGCAGGTAGTGGGTGCCTTTGGTATGAGCTGTCAGAATCTTTGGGGATCCTGGTTAAGTGGGCATCCTCTTGAGTGAGTGACTTAAATCTCCACAACAATCTGAAGTTTAGCTGAGGATAAGGTGTGTGTGGCTTCTGGCTCCCCTCCCTGCCCAGGTGGTTCCCTTGGGAGGGCCCAGAAGACCCCAGAGGCAGGACTCAGGCCCAGGTGACCCAAGTTGGCTCTGGCACCAGCAAGCAGGGACGACAGGATGCCTCTGCCCAGCATTGACAAACTTGACTTTCCACCAAGATGCTGGAACCTGAGAACAGTTGTCCGTCCAGTCACCAGTCTTTCATGGCCTGGGCCCACCCTGACCCCAGGACCACAGGTGACAGCAGTTCTCCCTGTCTGTCTCAGTCAATCCCAGGTCACCAGAGAATTTTGGAAAGCAACTTGAGTCCTTGGAAGGGGGTGAGCAACAGAAAGAAAATGGGGCACCGTTGTGGCTGCCCATCCTCTGGGAGCCTGCTCTCCTCCATTGGGGAGCGGAGATAAGACTTTCCATCTCTCAGGGAGTCGTCAGCGTTAAATGAGAACAGAATGCCAGACCACAGAGAGTGAGTAAGAAATATTGGGTTTCTTTGTTCTTTCGACCTGAGGACTGAGCTCCGATCTCTCCCTCCATGCAGCTAAGTGGTCCCTCCTCAGGCGACCAAAGCCTTCTCCAGGAAGGATCTCTCCAGGAAAATCTCTGACATCCCTGCCTGAGACTGACCTCAACATCTCCTTAGAGGAGTCCMACATACTCCTGGCAGTGCCCCCTCCCTGTCACTCTGGGTGGCTTGCCCAGCTCTATTTCCCGTCATAGCCCCTTACACTGACTCGGTATCACATGTATGATGCACCAGACGTACCTGCCATACGGTGCCCATTTCCTGTTCTGAAATCTAAACTCCATTAGGCTGCAGAACCCCCCAACACCTAGAGTAGGGTCCACACACAGTGGTCCCATGTACACACTGTTGATGACTGGCCTAGCCAGGAGGCAGGACTGAGGTCTCAGGCAGGAGGACCACAGGTCTGTGCTCCTTACGGTCCTCCAGGGTCCTCATTGCCCTCCTTGGAGTAGATCTCGGC